ACACTTTCCCATTGTTCGCGAGGTAAGCTCGTCGATCAACGTTTAACAGCTTTATTTTTGAGTAACTTTATATATTCTCCAATAATAGTGGTTAGGGTTTTATGTTCCACGACAACGCTACGACCACGAGGGAAGCCATAGTAGATGTCTCCGGCGATTTCGGCTACCCGGGGTTCTTTAACGTGCACCCAAGTCCGAGTACATAGATCTTTAGCGTTTGGGCTCTATTGAAATGTAACAGCCATGGCCGGGATTCAATCCCACGACCTTTGTGTCAACAGTAGAGTAACCATGAGCACCAGACCACTGTAGCGCATTTTTTTTTTCTGAGCGTACACGCTTAAAAAATCTAAACACGGTTCCATTTCTAGTCGACACTTTTTCTGCGTTGTTTCGCGTGCACAATGCTTTCAGTGCAAGGTGCCCGGCGACAAGACTTTTCGACAAGCGTGGAAACCGACTGCGCACAATAGATAGCTCGTCTGCCTAAAAAAAAAAAAAAGCGAGCTGTGCGCACAGTTTTCTTCCAGTGTATACCCCCTCTGCATCACTCACTGTGCACGCAGTGGGGGAAAGGAAAACGGGAAAGCATATTTGCGGCGCTATGATAGGCGTACATGCGAGGAAAGACGCACTCTTCGGTGAACAGAAAGTTGTGTATCGTTGCTCACCATTGTTGGCTAATATACGTGATGAAGTTGTATTGTTTGAAAGAATGTGTAAGTTTGAGTGTGCACTGGTATTCTGTTCAGCTACTGATTACACAAAGCGGTTTAATTGCGAAATCTGTGTGCAGAAAGAAAATTTCGCTGCCAAAGAGACTTGCTTCTGTTTTTTTAAAAATGTGGCTGACATTTAGTAACTTATTGGAAATAATGTCTGTAACATGAAATAAAGAATTAAATAAAACTGCACGCTTTGCTCTAAAGGAAGATGACGAAAAAGTGTGATCAAATTAGAGGACGCTTGCACTTCGCCTTCAAGGGTGAGTCGCGATAGCGTAATCGGACCTCGTGCATGCTCATCGCCTTCTGAAATGCGTCAGTTCTCGGTGCCTGCTTCAACCGTACACTGTGAGGAATCAAATGACTGTGCGCGTGATAAGGCCGTTTCAAAGCACGATTGAAGGCCCATTGCAAGCACAGTTGTTATGTGCCCAGTACACCATGCTATCCCTTTTCCGAATCGCCGAACGGCCCACTATGCGTCCAAACACACGAACCTGTACGCCACTGTTCACTTGGTTGGTGGTTCTGCTGCTGATTGTGACTAATTATGTCTGAGCGCATTCAAATTGGTGGGCCTTCGAAACATCCACTCCAGGCCCGTAGCCAGGAATTTTTTTCGGTGGAGGGTGGACGAGGGGGGGGGGGGGTATTTGTACTATTTATTCTCGGTGAAACATCACCATCCATCCGAATTGTCCGGGGATAGCCCCCCTCCGCCTCCAACCCCAGGCTACGAGCCTGACCCACTCGTTGCTCGATACACAATGTTTGACGCCTGGCTCGATTATGCGCTTATTCCACGCTGTATATGATGTGTTAAGGAAACTCCTTCCACTACAGGACATTCATAGGGTTTTTTCCAATGAATTTTCAACAAATATTGCTGCCCGGCGCTATATAACACTTGCTTGCCACACAGCCAGCCTGGGTTCGACCTTCGATCGGGTCCGAAAACATTTATTACATATTTTACTTGAATTTTTCTAGATTTTCTCAGTCAACATACAAAAATCAACGTACGGAAAGTATGTTGATTTTTCGCTCACAACTAACGACGCCCTCGCCGACACCAACTACGAAATTTCTACTAAACTAGCTCTTTAATGCTTTCGCGTTATAAGGTAGACCGCAGAGGTTCTATTTAGATGAAGGCGAAATGCTGGTTGTCTGTTTGCTTAGACAGAAGTGCAAGTTGAAGAAGAAAATATGGTCGAACTTGCCAGAGTTCTTCGCTATGGTGTACAGCAATATATCACAGTTGTGAATGTGAAACCTCAATTATTATTATTATTATTATTATTATTATTATTATTATTGGCCACACCGGCAGCACTAGTAGTAATACGAAATAAGCATAATGTCCTGTAAAGAAATGTGTACTGGAAGTACTCAGTGTATAGTGGACAGTAAAGATAATTAACATTAGATGGTGAAGATAGTCAAGCAGAGTTTGCCATTTAAGCGTTACACCACAAAATTTAAGAAACAAACTGTGAGGCTTTCTTAGGTAGGTGCATGCGACAGCCAACATTTACAGATAGTATTTTGTTCGATTACGTGCAAATATTATGCAAAGAAGAAAACGCCGCTAGTCAAAACGTTTAGCGAAACAAGTTTGCATTCTGGGCACTTAAAAAAAAAAGAGTGGTCGCATGACGTGTCCTTATACGATAAGCGGAATTACGTGTCGCAGAGACCAAACGAGTCAGATAGGTGCCTTGGAGATAGCTTGGCTCCGGTTGTCCGTAGTTCTGTTCACTGTGCCTGTGCAGATGCGTATCTTAAGAATGTGTGTTTTGCACTTCATGCTGAAGCAGTATCGCTCATTATCACAGTGGCAACGGTCTTGACTGTTGGTTGCACTAACACTCAGCCCCGACGAGAGTAGCACGGTTCAGTGGAAAGCTTCCATGAAATATATACTGACAAAGAAAACTGCTGCGATTGCATAGAAGAAGGTTTCGCAAAGAAAAAAACAATACCATTGTTCCTTTAGGCCCTGCTTAGGGTGGCGTGAGCGCATGTATTGCTCTAAAAACACTGAGCTACAGGCATCTGAGGCAGGCGGTAGAATAGAAAAATAAAATTGTACAGAAACCAATGACGATGAATGTCAGTACACGTGTTGCCGAACGCCTCAAGAAAGTTACTGTCCATAATAAATGAATGATGCACTTTATGGTGGGTACTTGTTGCAGGTGCGGGTACGTTGTCATTGTATCATGTAATTTTTAGATAGTAGAGCCGATAACCAGTTCATATGTAATTAGAGTCCTGGCCTATGTGTGTGCTGAAGGTGGCCAGTCCTACAGATTGTCAATACCAGAAAGTTCCTCCCTTGTGAGACCAACCAACTAAACCAGAAATCCCGGTAATGGATGCACAGGGGAGGTTTGTTTATAAGTTGGCTCTTGATGACCTAGTTCCTGCAGTAAAGTCATTCAAGTGTCGTTTCTCGTTTCATTGCGTGTAGAGATCTGAGTTAGCAAAATGCACCTGCAGCCATTGGCAGTATAGGAAGGAAGGAAGCAACAAAAGGGAGAAGGCAAGCAGGTTAACCAGGAATACATCCGGTTGGCTACCCTACACTGGGGGATCAGGTGTTTATACATACGAAAGGTGGTTGTAGTACGTCGTTCAGTGAACGCGGCTGCCGTACTTCCGCTGTTTGCACCGCCACGGGCTGTGCGCCATTTGTTTTTGTTGGAGTGGAGCGGCTGGGGAAGTGCGGCTGCCGACGACACAGCGCCTTGAATCATCAGTGGTGAAGGGATCGTGCCTCTTCTTTTCTACGTAGTGCTCGCGAGTGTACTTTTTTCGTTGCACTTTTAGGTTGTTATAGCAAGACGAATGCTATGAATAACAGTTACACTACGCGAGGTATAAGAGAGAGATAAAAAAAATCCCCCATTTTAAAGCACGACGCTCTGAAGAAATTTCTTACTGATTTCTCAAAAAGGAAAGTCGCGCTTAAAGTAAAAAAAAAATAAATATTTGAATGCCACCTCTACAGGTCCTTGCTTTCTCATGTTTGCCTTATTTTTGTTGTTAATTGAGATACGCAGCTCACAGCGAGCTTAAGTCTTGTCCATACCGAATTACACTTTGCATTCTAAATAGGTACAGCCACCAAAATACTTAGCTAGCGTGCTCGAGCGGCGGCTATTCTGTGCGTGAGATTTCAGCAAAAGTCTAACGCTTGACGAAAACTCCTCTGTCGAGGAAGAATCATTGTTGAAGAAAGTGTATACGCTCGTCAACTAAAGAAGACCGACAAACAAGAAAATCGACGTTTCGGCGTCCAGTGCAGGTGCCTTGTTCACAATGAACGAATGCACGGTGATCTTTAAAATAAATAACAACAAAACAGGTCACTGACCAAAATCAAAACAAAACAAAATCGACATTCCGGGATCCGTCCGATTGCTCAGCCGTCATTTCATTGTGAAATGACGGCTGAGCAATAGGTTTTCATGTAGCATTAAGCGCATGGCGCAAAGTTTGGTTGTACATGTGGTTTAGTGTACTCGCACACTTTTTGTTGTGTTTTGTTTTTACACTGGTCGATGAAGTGTTGTTTTTTTTTCAACAATGTATTTACCTGACCAGATGGTATTCCGTCGAACTCCCGACTAAGGTGTTTATATACTTGTCGAAAGAAGCAACGCGCCAGCGTATACCTCAGGAAACAGACTCCGTGTTCAATTATCGGGTTAGTTGTTGATTGTGTGCAGAAAGATGCGATGAGTGAGTGGAACGATAACATTTACTATTTTTCGATGACGAAATCTAATTTTCAGACGAGACAATGCGCAGTTTTCTCATATACGTGAAACCCTAGATGTTATTATTACTTCCAGCCGCCAAAGTATACGAGAAAAACAAGACAGATAAAGAACTGAAACATAACGTGTGAGATAGGGGCCTAGAAAACAATAAATGCAAATCAAAAAGTAGTAGAAATTATAATCATTACTTTATTCATGTATTTCGACATACTGCGGACAACAGCTCAAAGCAGGGTGAACAATATGCACGTGTTTATATGCTCAGAAGAAGATAACGAATCACGTCTATAACACAATTTTAAATGCGTTACTTAGAATTAAGGAAAACTGAACGACTTACTCATAACATGACTCCAACAATTAGCGACGTGCAACCAGTTTCTCAAAGGAGGCTGAAAACTAGGACATTGCTTCTATCATGTGTACACATATACCCACTGACTTTCTTGACTGTCGATCTTGGTGTTCCACCTCCGGGTTGCAGCGTTGGCCAGCCCGAACCGTGTGGTGCGCAAGCAGGTGCTGGAACTCCTGTCTGCCGTGTGCGTCTACGCTCCGGGCGGCCAGGTTCTGGCCCTGGACGCGCTCGACCACGTGCGCGCCTCGACGGGCGGGGAGCACCGCTTCAGCGTGCTCGTGGACGAGCTGTCGCACCCCGAGGTGCTGCCGTACGCCGCCACCGTGCTCGCCTTCATCAACTGCGTGCTCATCAGCACCGACGACTTCCGCGAGCGGCTGCGCCTGCGCAACCAGCTTCTGGGTCAGTGTTTGTTCCTTAGCATTTCGTAAACTATGTCTTCTTAAACATAAACTTCATGGTGCTCCCACGAATGTTAAACTACTTTGTTACACAGTCCTTGTGCGGCCAAAACTAGAGTACGCGAGCATAGTATGGGATCTTTATACAAAACGTAATATATACACTCTTGAGCGTATTCAAAGAAAAGCTGTTAGATTTATATACAACAAGTACTCCAAGTTAGACTCACCCTCAGATTTAATGCTAGCCAACAACATTCCCTTACTGCAGATGCGAAGACAAAAGCTAGATTAGAATTCTTTGATCAACTTTTGAACAAAAAAAAATAGCTTTAGACCCATCCCCGTATTTGACACCCCTTAGAAGCCGGCCCACCCGAAACCACCACCTAAAGGCCTTGATCCCATATTTTGCTCGCACAGACCTACTGAAGTATTCGTACTTTGCAAGAATCATATGTGAATGGAACTGTCTTACTAATACACGTGATGAATGAACTAACCTACCAAACAACCTTCTTCGCCCTTTATTGTTTCGTTTCGCAATTATTTTATTTTTATGTGTATTACCACCCTGCTTGGACCTCGAGTCTGCAGTATTGAATAAATAAATAAATAAGGCCTGATCACTGTTCTTCGTAAGCGGGGAAGGGGAATCCCCTTTGGTCGAGTCCGAAAGAAAGTGAGCTCCGTGATTGGTCCAAAAATAAAATTATGGTGGTGACGCGCTTTTCATGACGGCTTGCCAATGGTCCCCGGCTTTTTTAGGTAATATGGCGGAAAATAAACAGTTTTATGAATCGTGAGGGTAAATGAAATTTGGGTGAGTCTTCCTGAAGAATCCTCAAAGCCAATGTTAACTTCAATGGAGATCAAACTATCAATACTCGTATCAATAAGTCACTTTCGTCAAGAGCAACGACGTCCTATATTCCAATTAATCTAACGTATGTAATAACGGAGAAAAAAAAACACTTCAGCTCTTAAGAAGGCAGCACTACTGATTGTTGGCCTAGTTGGTTCTTGCTTACTGACATGATTTGGCAAATAATACACACTTTGTGTGTGTATTATTTGCGGCCAAATCATGTCAGTAAGAAGGCAGCATGCTAAAATACCATGCTTCCGAGATAAAGGGGAGATAGCTTTCCTTTTTAAGACGATAATCTTTCTTGCGGACCTTCGACGCAAAACGTTCGGGCTGTCTGTCTGTACATTTGTCTGTTTGTCCGCCCTTAATGGTATCCAAAAGGCACCAGACTATACACCAAACGGCCGACTCCATTCGCAGCGCCCACCAATATTGCTCAAGATTCAGGGTTCATACTTGTGCGATTGTTAATTAAAAAGCAATTATTGGCATATCTGAGGTACCATAACAACACGTCAATATTCTGCATAAGTATCTTTTACTAGGAAAGGCATACATAAGTGATTCTAAGGATCGTACTGTTTATCACGATGCGCTGACCATGCAACGCTTTCACGAAAGGGCAAGTGTTTCCAACGCTTTGCTAAGACGACATCGTGGAGGCACCTACCCGTCGCCTTGCGTTCTACACCTTATCACCTCCAAGACGGGCGCGCACGCGGCGCGCTTCGTTTTCTAAAATAACTGCCAGATAGCGCTCACGTGTGACACGTGACTTGATGCGGTCGTTCGCCTCCGCTGCACGCTCGAGACACTCTAACGCAGCGCCTCCAGTATAGGATTCACCGATTTTCTTGCGGAGAACATCAAATAAACGTTTTGTTAATTCTCTCCAGACGCAAAACTATCGTCTTTCGACATTTGCAGTGCAACATGCAAATACGGGGCCAATTATTTTTTTTTTGTTGAGGTGTTGAGAGAGCTTACACTCCGGCTTTAAAAAAAATTTTTTTGTAATCTACAAACACAAATAACAAGACTCGAATGCTTTAGTCGACACCGAGGTAATACCACGCAAAATAGAGAGCATGAGAATTGAACAGCGATGACAGTGGTCCCGCAAGCTGCAATGGGAGAGCTTTTCTTGCTTTCGGAGGATCTTTGCTGTGTTTTGAAAATAATGTCAAACGCATGGGCCGTTGCCACACTTCGCGAAATTAAAGTTATGCGAGACGTGACCATATTGTCATGGCCCGCGCTGCGTCGTATCACTGGTGACTCAGGACAATTTGAGGACTGACACTAGTTATAGATGCAAGGCATATCTTTGACTCTTGTGTGTAACGCCGTACGTACTTGCATCCGTACGAACACGCCACAACGTTTTACCTTCACCGCAGGTGTTGGAGCGGTGCCAAGTAGGTCATGCTGCAGCTGCCCGTTGACGTCACGCTCCCCTCGCACGCTTTTTTCTCAGGTGCGCGCTGACGTCACACTATTCTTTACCCGCAGGACGCTCGCCGCAGCGCCCCTCCACCCGCTCACAACACACTTCTCTCTCTCTCTCTCTTCACCCTCTCCACAGCCCGCAATGTTCGGCCGCACGTGGAGTGGCAAACTCTTTCGGCTTGTTCATCTGCGATGAAACTTACGTAAAACCCGACCCACTTCCCGTGTCTTTGCGTATCAAACAAACTTTTACTTGAGTAAACTCGACACCGAGTTCCAACCGTTCTTCCAGCACCCGCGTGGACGCCCGTTTCTACCGGGTAAAGGCCGTGCGCACCGCTGCTGCTTCGCATCCCATCTGGGTTTCTTTCGGAGAGATAGTTCATAGTTTTGATTTTTGGGTCTTGGGCAACTGCTAGCGAACAGCCCGAGAGTAATTTGGCTTCTGCGCATGCATTCTAGCAGCTAGCGGAGCTCTCAAGTTTTCAAGCATCTTGGGACCCAAATCTCACACTATTAATATGGAGTTTGACAGGCAGCACCACAAGAAAGTTCATTGAGTGCTAGTAACAACTGTCTGGGTGAGCGCAACCGCACTGGGTAACAACACTTCAACAGCACGTACAAACAGAAAGGCACATGTATGATGGAATTAATGACAATTGGAAACTATCACACTCAATAGATTTTGGCAAAAAAGGACAGACTAAGTTTGCACATATATGTTGGGAAGGAATGCTATATTTGTATTAAAACATGCGGCGATCAAGCGTGTTGCCACCTTAGGGCCGGATCATATGGTACCTTACTTTTTTTCCTCTGCCATGTACTATTAAAAAGGTTGTGGTGTTTAGCAAGAAGTGGTCAACGAGTTAGAATATTTCTTGCTCTACTAAGGGAGGGTGATGAGCCGTCCCAGATCTCACGGACCACAGTGAAAGTATTACGTGTGTTTATCCGAATTTGTAATGATTTAGGAGTACATAGTACTGTACTATGGGAGAACATAAAGCCGTCCCAGAACATATACAATCTCCTAGACGTGTTTAGGAATAGTGAGTAACCATTTTGAGTAGTCGGTACTCTACTATGGGAGATCATAGAGCCGTCCCGTCACACTCATGTCGCTTAGCACGATAGAAAGTCAATGCTGATTACTAGCTAGTACAAACACCATCCAGATCCACGGAACCAGCGAAGCTGAAAGCCGAGGTCCCGATGTTTATGACTGGGTTAATGCCGGTGGTTTAATAAGATATCTCTGAATTATTGGTCCCATCTAGTCCTACAAATCTCAATGGGCGCTTGCCGCTTGTGTATGCCGTCTTCATTTTTATTGGACCAGTGGGGAATGATATGATTTGCCGAATTTCTGTGGTACGTGCGCACGGAGTTTCTTGCCCACATAGGACGGACGAATTTTCGTTTTGCCTAGTCACACACAGCTTCACTGTAAGAAAAAATCACCAAAAAGAAAAGCAGCCCTGAAGACACACAACAGAGCGAATCAAAATCGTTTAGAAAGTGAAATATGATGTGGTATAAAGTAAAAACAAAAACGTTCGGAGCATCGTTTGAAGTGATTTATGCGTGGGCCATGGTAACTATCTAGTAGAAAAATGAACGCGTTCTTTCGGAGACCTACAGAGATGAATATTGGTGGTATTAAGAGTCGGCTCTTTCAAAAAGATTACGCCGCGAAGTAGTCACTCTGGTTTTTATATTATTAGTGTGTACTGGTGGCAATGATGTAATATGAATATGCATACATATATTTTCCTGACGAATATAAGTGCTGCGTGCGAGTATACATGTGTGTGTGAAGCATCGATTGTACGTCCGCCTGCTCGTCATTTCATGTTTTGTGTCTATGTAAATCAACGCTGTTTTGGTATTCTCGTCAACGTCTAGTAAACAAATTCCATGATGCTATATATATGTTGAATCGTTCACGTCAACTGGATGTGACATAATTTTTCTAAACACATACACAGAAAATTATCGTAAATCTTGTGCGTTGTGAGCACTGGTCAGGGACGCCAAGAATCTTGTGCGAACAAGACAGAAGTAGTTCTGCGGAAATTGGAGATCTTACTTTGCGTTTCTCGCGTGTCATGCGCGTTTGTTTGCGCGCAGTTAAGAGTGCCGCTTCGGGGTTCCGTGCTCTGTTTCTAACGTTGTAAAATGTGCAATAACGACTTATCACGATAACTGATTGGTTCTGTGATATATATTTATTAGTGCGGTCGTTCTGGAGCTAAGCTCTGCAATTGCTTCATTTGAATCATAGTGTTAGAATTTGATGTGAACTTATAGCGTGCGTACAGTGTCCGTGTACAAGCAACGTTACCTTCCAAGAGAGAATAATACACAGAGAATATAAATTTTGAATGTAGGCTCAGCAAGAACACGTTGACGTAAAATGCGTACCTGAGGTGTTAGCAGGGAAACAAAATGATGTAATTGTTTTGTAGAGGTAGTTTTAGCGCAACGCCGATGCCTTTTTCTTTACGTCACTTTTTTTGGGTGGGGGGTGATAACTTTATTTTTACGTGTGCCTATAAAGTTGCCAGTGTAATAAGTTTACAGACGCTGCATGTAACGGAGCATCTAATATCTTTATAAGCTGTGGGCTCTGAAATGTGAGCTCGCGTCGGTGCATGCTACGCCCACTTGTTAGTGACCGGTTTTCATAACATCTAACTACATATAACCACTGTACGCCGTACGTTCCCAAACTCTCTCTGCGGTTTCTCTCTGCACAGGCGTATATCAATTTCTCGATTTGGTCTGTGTCTCGCCTTCCCATTTAATTTCTTTTACGTCGCAGCCTCACATATGCTGACCCTGGCACGCGTCGCGTGTGCGATTGTTTACAAGCATTTGTTGAGATATCGCACTTTTGTTGAAATGTTTTTATTCCCGGCGCACAAGGGCTTCGTGATTCTCCTTGTTTGATCTGCGGCTGCCACAGAATCGTCTCGCCACATGTCTATTTTCGAGCTGTGGTAGCATGTGCAAGAGAGAAAATAAAAAAAAAGAAGAAAGAAATCGAACCGAATATGATCTCGGAGACCACACGCATGCAGACGTGACCAAGCGTGCGCGCGTCCGAGTATAGTTTGTGTCGTGTGAACTTTGCCAATGATAGAAAAACATTTACCACGAAAGCCTTTTTAGGGAATTCAATTGGATCGTTAGTTTTAGTACTTGAAAGGCCAAATCGGCTGTCACCGTGAGGGCTTTGCGGCATGATACTGTCCGCAGCTGGTCTATGGGCATTCGTCTTTGTTCGCTCTCAGGCTTGGGCTTCCTGGAGTTGGTGGAGCCGCTGCGTCGTTCCGGGGACGACGAGTTGTTCATCCAGTGTCACGTGTTCGAGACCACTCGCGAGGCGGACGACGAGCACGCGCTCAGCCTCGGACTCACCGCCTCGGGAAACCATTACGACGCATTCGCCGCCGTCATGAACAAGGTGAGACGGCGCCTGTTTCCTCGAGGGCAGGGTTGCCACCTTTGGCTACTTTTCTAGGCTGGTGGTGGTAGAAAAAACGTCTTGGCTACTTGGCTACTTTTTGGCTTCTTTTATGTTTATTTGAGTCGGCCCAATGGTCGCGGGTTCAATCCCGGCTGCGGCGGTCGCATTTAGTTATTTATTTATTCATGTACCCTAAAGGCCCGAGGGCATTACATAGGGGGGGGGGGGGTAATGTACATATATAGAAACTAACACCAACAATAAAGTAATAAAATGTATGAAAAAGTAAATAACAACGTATAAATAATGTACAAAATCGCAGAAAATCAATTATGAAGACAAAAGTACACTAAAAAGGAAGGCGTATCAAAAGAACAAGCGAGGCTGAACATTTATATGCTAAACAATGCTGATCATGGTCAAATAAGCGAGTTATACAGCGTACTAAAAAACCGTTATATGAGCACATGTACATCTGGGTCGGTTGTATTAGGTCATTCAAACACCAAGATGAAGCTTTAATTTGTGAGTGAATTCTTCGTGGTTTTTTATACAGACAATATCGTTGGGAAGTTGATTCCAGTGATTAACAGCAAGAAGTAATGGTGAATATAAAAACAGGTTTATTCGGGCAAATAAAGGTTCTAATTTGAATTTGTGGTCCAGACGAGCAAATATTCTATGAGCAGATTTAATAAGTGCAGACAGTTGCGAATGCTTATGGTAGAGATTGTGAAAAAGAGACAGAAGGGAGAACAGTCTGCGTGACTGTAGAGATGGCAAGTTTAGAGACTTTTTAATTTCATTTATGCTAGAAGTTCGAAAGTATATCTTTGTTATGAACCGGGCACTTTTGTTTTGAAGAGACTCTACTTTATTTATGAGGTGAACCTGATGAGGGTACCATATTTGGGAAGCATAGTCAAGCTTAGAGCGGACTAGTGTATCGTACGCTGAAAGTTTAGTATCAGAATTGGCGAAATATAAGTTACGTCTGATGAATCCCAGTGTCTTATAAGCGTTGCTAGTGACAGTGTCAATGTGCAAGTTCCATGATAGGTCACTCGTTAAGTGAACTCCCAAATACTTAAAATTAAGAACATTTTCAACTTGTTTCTCATTCAATGTGTAGTGATTAGTTATTGGTGTCTGTTGTGTAGTAAATGAAAGGACATTTGTTTTGCTCACGTTGACTTCCATCTGCCAGTCTTGGCACCACTTACCTAATATGTTAAGATCGTTCTGCAAATTATAAGCATCCTCACAGCTAACCACCTTTCTATATATGACGCAGTCATCGGCGAATAACCTTACCGTAGAAGTCATAGAAGCAGCTATATCATTAATGTAAATTAGAAACAGAATCGGCCCCAGTACAGATCCTTGAGGCACTCCCGATTTGACGTGCGCTAAAGGGGAGTGTTTGTGTCGTTGACTACAACGGATCGGTACCGGTTAGTTAGGAATTCCGATATCCAATTAAAAACGTGGGTGTTTAAGTTAAGAATGGTAAGCTTTTCCATTAGTCAGGCGTGAGGGACTTTATCGAATGCTTTTTAAAATTTACAAAAAACAGCATCGATCTGGCATCGGTCATGCAAAGCGATATGAATGTCTGTAATTAACTCAAATAATTGTCTCGCAAGATTTACCACGCAGGAAGCCATGTTCGTTGTCAAAAAAGAAATTTTTTCCGCTAAGTAATTCATGACTACCGATAAAATGATGTGTTCAAGCAGTTTGCTGCCAATACTAGTTAGGAAGATTGGCCTGTAGTTAGTTGGGCTAAAATGGTGTCCAGATTTAAATATAGGTATTACGCGGGCTAGCTTCCAGTCGTCGGGTACACAGCCTGTATCGAGGGACTGTTGGAAAACGGCACTTAACAAAGGACATAATTCTAGCTTTATCATCTTAAGCATTTTCGGGCATATCTCGTCAGGGCCTGGTGCAGAATTTGCAGAAAGGCGTTCAATGGCTGCTGCGATGCTGCTGCGATGGAGGCGTAATGGTTGAGGCCTGTGTACTGTGTGATGTCAATGCACGTTAAAGAACACCATTGACCCTCTGCAGAGGGTCAATTTTTTCGGAGCTCTCCGCACACGGCGTCTCCCATAATCATATCGCGGTCTCAGGACGTAAAACCCCAGATAATAATAATAATAATAATAATAATAATAATAATAATAATAATAATAATAATAATAATAATAATAATAATAATAATAATAATAATAATAATAATAATAATAATAATAATAATATAATAATAATAATAATAATAATAATAATAATAATAATAATAATAATCCAATTATGCAACAATTCAAATTTTCGAGTGCTGCCACCAGATTTATAGGCATTTTCGCTAGCGGTTGATTGAAAAATTTGGCTGTTTAAGTAAGAGCTTAGCTATTGTTTCGACACAAGCATGGATAATTTCGAATTCTTTTGCCACCCGAGGCTTAGCTGACTTCTTTTTGGCCAGTTTTTTACAAACTTTTTCTGGCTATTTTTGTCTTTTCCACCTGGAAACTCTGCCTGAGGGCTCTCAAGTTGCTTAAGTTGTCTTCCGAGAATGGCACACACCTAATGCAGGGTATTGGCCGGGTAGTGAGTGGATTGGGGTAGTAGTTACGACATGGTTACGACACGGTTACGACACGGAACAGAACTAAGTTTGCATGACAAGCTCTAGTGGAGACAGTCTGGAAGGAATGTGTTAAAGCATCCGCGAAGAGTATGCAGGGTGGTCTTCACTTTTAGACGGTCCTTTTATGTATAAAAAAAGAAGTCAGGGGGAAGAAAAAATAACATAAGCGGGGGCCATCCTTGCGCGGCGTATATATTTCTTATTATCGTGGTGTTTGCACATGGTGACATGAGTTCCTTGAGTTTTACCATGAAGTGAAATTGTTCACAAGTTTCAATAGAACAAACCAATAAGCAAAAATAAAACAGAAAAAAAGGTATTAAGCGTTGTATTTTATGTTGACATAGATGCCGATAAAAGCCGATGAAGTGTCCGTGTAATTAACAAAAATTAGGTGAATGTTGATAGGTCCGTATGGTGAAACTGCAAAACGAGCATTGTTTTGCCTTAAGGTAACATACTTATCCATTTTTGAGAACTGGCGCAATGAGTTTCTATTCAGCGGCCGTGCTCACACCTGACATAACTACAAATTTTTTTTTCAATGTCTGTAAATTTTTTAAATGTTGTGAATACGTGGTTCATACACGCAAGGCTAATTCTGCAACAGCCTTACATAATGCGGATTTGATTGACTAATTTGCTCTTATACTTACAGTTAAAGCAAATCAGATATCCACTTAAATTCAAGTGCTACAGAATATGTCTCGGTGTTAAATATGGGTACTGTCCGATACACCAACTCTAAATATCATTATGCGCACTGTTTGACGTTGCAGAAACATTCATTGGGTCACCGTATTATTTTCATATACACATATGTGAATTCACGTGAAGCGGACCTCTCAGTGAAAGTATTTCGTCTGTGGACAGAATTCTGGGAGTATGGGGGGACGGCACATTCCCGAAAAAAAAAAAATATATTTTTAAGCGTGTTTACTTTTTTCGCGTAAATGGTTAGACATTGCGGCAGAAAAGACTGGCATTTGGAAGGCAGTGCTTCTCTCGTGCACTATTCCTCACGCGCCTTGTTCGTGTGCAGGTTGTTGATGATGTATCACAATGATTGCAAGGTGCCCGCTTCCCTATACTACAATGGCAGTTTTGTTTTATTATTACGTTCAATGCCGTGACCAATCTACACGACTCAGCTTGTCGTTTAGCTACAGCATGTACGTTGAATCGGGACTCAAATACCTCGACCTTGCGAAATAGTCCGCTTAAAAGCCCACAGAAAGAGTCAGGCAAGCACCGCACTATGCTTTTTTCAATCTAGCAAGGGCAGTTCGAGCTCCATAGCTCGGAGAATACAAAAACTCATTTACAGAGGAGGAGAAAAAAATACGAAAAGTAGGAACAGACAACGTACCTAACATTCCTTTGGTGTGGCGATCATCCCAGCACATGTCACTATGTAGGGAACACGCGTTCCAGCTGGTATCGCAGCGGGATGTCTAACGCATCGCTATCGTAAAGGTTAATTGGTGCCGCAGTCGAAGTATTCTTTGTATATCAATGCTATAAATCGGTGTGACATTGCACGTCGAAGTGGAAGTGCACTTACAGATTACATCGTCAGGACTCATTCGACCCCCTGTGGATCTCCCAGATTAACTTCGACCAGTTGTTTCAAAATATTGATATAGGACTGTTTCTGTAAAGAAAAAAAAAAAAACGTAACGTTGCACGTTAACGTATGCCCTTGACATCGCTTGTTAATACGTTTAATGAGGTAGCTTTCATTGCTGAGTTATATATTTTTTTGTTCATCCACATAAATTTACCATAATAAACTACATTGGGAGTAGCATTCCAAGCTGGGATGTAAGGCTAGATTCTTCAGCTTTCCTTCAAAACTTTCTCTCGGCCTCCAGCTTCCAAAAAGTCATACTGTCCCTCACTAATTTGGCTCTTAACCACACGTAGGGTAAAACCATCTTTATCTTCTCAATGGATTGCACTGATACGATCCTTTCCCTCCGAACAATCTGTGTAGCTTTTAGTGTTTTTGTAGTGCATCTGAAATTGCTACAACTCCTTCGATGACGTCGTCTTGTGACGTCATCATATTTTTTGCATGGCTCGTGTTGACATCAATGGTCACTTGCCTTAAAAAATAAACTTTCTTTATTTATATATGAGAAAAAATATGAAAGGGCAAGCTACGTTAAAACTGGCTATACAATCAAGACACAAAAAGATGTGAAAATTAGGAAGTATAAAACATTCCCGCATCTACACGGATTAAATTATGCCGAGGCTACGAAGCTACGGGTGTCGTGTCGGCGACTTACAGTACGTTGTCTAAGTGTTGTGCCATATAATCTATCTATCTATCTATCTA